TATCATGAGTGAGGCTCAAGTAGTCCAAAGCGTGCAGTTCAGACACTCTAACTGCTTGTGCTGTATTGTTTAGAAACATTCTATCCGGCAAATGCTTTTCCATGAATGTATCTGCCCCTGATACTGTGACTTTTCGTCCTCCATTTCTACATCTCCCAGTCTTGCCTTTAGTATTGTAGTACCATATTTCCTCTAATAAGTGCCAGGCCTCTAATTAGCACTGGGGGTAAAGCAGCTCATTAACCATTACGGTAATTAGACTCAGTAAGCGCAAAAGCGCCACGTCTGTAATAAGCGGAAGGAAATACAGTATACATCATGCTACCTCATAATAACAATGCGCTGGGTACTACTTTCAAGTGAGAAGCGTCGGGAGGCTGTACCTTTGAATTGTAAACCTGCTCTATTTTTTCCACATGTAGCAGAATGTAAATATTGTGTATTTTAAACCTAAGTATATAATTTAGTTAAGCACTATAACAACCCTTTGAATTAACACAGCACTCTACTAATCCTTACAGAGCTACAGATAACTTTTTGGGTCATTGAGTTATGTACTCCCTTGTGTTCATCTCAATTGGGTATCCTAATTTTCCTTTGAGTAACCAAATAAATTGTACTCACCTCAATCAAACTCATTTGGGTATTTTGCCATTTTCCATTAATTTTAAAAATATAATATAGCTTAAATAATAGTGTTTGTGATTTACCTTTGATATCTAATATGAGAAACGATAAGAAAGACTGCAATATGTCAAGCTCATGTCCTAAAATAGAGCCTCTCAATATGTCAGCTATTTTATCTATCCACCGGTACGCAAGCTACGACTTGACATTTTTGTGTGTACGCATGTAAGATCACATTTATTGAGTATTTACACAACTTCAAGCGTACTTGTACGCAACAGACTTAATGGGAATTGGGTTTTCAGATAAATGTTTGCGTAATTTACGCAGATACGCAGCTTATCTGTACCTCTGTCCTTAGGTTAAGTTATGTAAGCCTGCATGGGGTTCTATTTTGCTTCAGACTCCTGGTCCAGTGCTGCCACGGCTGGGCCAGTGATTGATTTGCTATTGTTTCTAGAGCATGTGACCAGATCTGGAGTTTTATGTACTCCAACATTCTTTTCCCTGGTCACTGCTACAATTTCAACTCTGTCTCCTTTATCGCAGCACTGCAAGTTACTGTAGATGTCTTTGTATGTATATTATCATAAGGAGGTTAGGATATGATGGCTTAATCATTTTACTCATGTCTGAAATATATTATGTGTTGTAATATCATCTACATGATGATATCATGTAATATTTTATGTGCTTAATATCATGACACACTGTTATGTATTATTATTATTACACGTTTGGTTAATGTAGACTATAGTGTATCTGAGGCCCAGATAATCTGCGTATCCAGGTAAAATACGCATAGACAATTTCCAATTATGCATTGAAAAATAATTGTTGAGGTTAGATCATACGCAAAAAGTTTAAAACAAATGCGTATGGAATATATTTATAAAAATCGCTTGCGTAATGAAAAAGACATGATTGCTATCAAGTTGTACTGTTAGTATAGGACTAATGTTGTACTGTCAGTACAGGATGAGTGATTTTTTATGAAATCATTTCCATTATACATGCACTTAAGTTGGTTTTGATTAGGTATGACATAGGGCAGTACATACCTGCTTAGTAAACTTACTCAATGACAATACTTAGGTGAGTAAAATGACTGAAATACGCACATATTTGAAAGCAGTGGGTAACGGAAAATAAAATACCCACACAACATTTGTAACACCCACTCCAAAAAAATACAGTGGGTACAGTACCCACATGAGCTGAATCTTATCTCGAGCTCTGGTGTATAAATTGTAGATTAGGTGTGTGTGTGCGTGAGCGTGCGTGCGTGCGTGCGTGTGTTTGTGCGTGCGTGCGCGCATTGGATATATATTGTATTTAATTGTGATATTTTATTATTAAGTCTTTGAATCACTCATTTGCCACTGGTGGGTTAGACTGTGGATTACCTGCGTCCCTGAGACGAGGTTAGTATTTGTGTGTCAAGGAAATGCATGGGTTATGTTCTAAATGTTGTTACATATCAGATTTTTATCTGTATGACTGTAATTTGTAATATAGGCTTATATTTATACTTAGATTGAGTAACCCTTGTGGTGTACAGAAAATGTTAAATATAATTATATGTTTACTATGTACTTGTTGCTGGATACCAGTAATTTGAGATGTTTATGTTTTGTTTCAAGGGTTTTATCACCTGATCCATCCAAGACAATAAATCCCTGAACCCTTTATAAGTATTCGTATGTGTTCAATCTTGACGTGATACCACTGTTACACACATGAATTGCAAGATGTAGTGGGAATGAGGCAGTTCGTATTCCCCATTTATAATAAACGAAAGGTCAAAATAATTGTTTGAACACTTAATGCACCAAAACTGAAACAAAACAGTAAACCCAATGGAAAAATCCCCCACACTGTACATTCACCGAAAGTGTGAATGATAACTTAGCTTCTATGAATGTCTTCCCGATAATGGAAGCTATTTCTAAATAATAACTTTTAACCCCCTGGCTGGAGCTCTGTAGGGATGTCTTTTTTCCTCAGCAATATGTCTAACTGTACCGCCGATGTTCAACTGATTAACGCTGTCGTGAGCTATGACCACGAAATGCACGAGATTTTAAAACCCACGTGTATATACGCATAGCAACAGGGTGTATTCACGTGCGCTGACCCAAGCTAAAAAAAACCCATCTATTTCCTTCTGTTCAAGTAGCCATTACAGTTAATTGAACAAACAGCCCTTGCATTTAATGTTGATTTTGACTGGTTAAAAATAAAAACAATTCAAATGAAAAATCCATGATGTGAATTGAATGAGTAACCTCACATATCATGTTTAATGTCACTGACTGTTTTTTCCACAAGTTTATTCATTCTCAATAGGGTGTTCAGAGCTGGTTTTCTGCATGCTGCATTTGGTCATTCTCTTTGTCAAATTTGTTTATTACGTGACATTGTTTCACTTTATCGTATCCTGATGTCTGCTTATTCTTTCTGAATTTCTGGCTTTTAGATGGTTTGTAAGTTAGATGAAAACACTCAGGTCTTCTATTTTCAACCCCAAACCATGTTTTAACTACAATGTCACACCTACCATCTATGTGTTTGTGAGAGGCGGTGGGGTAGCCTAGTGGTTAAAGCATCTGCTCCTCATGCTAAAGACACGGATTCAGTTCCCCACATGGGTACAATGTGTGAACCCCATTTCTGGTGTCACCATCCATGATGTTACTGGAATATTGCTAAAGCTCGTAAAACCATACTCATTCACTATGTGTTTGTGGAAACTTAATTTAATAATTCTCATATTGGCTTGTTTTTCACTAAACTGCCATAGTATTTGATGCAAAAATATTGCCTTGGAATGTAAGCTCACCTGGCTTTGTAGTCAACAGTCATGTACACCTGGTAATCTTAATCCCTGCACATAATACAATGCCTAGCAAAAACAAATTAAAACTGAAAAGGTACATAAACTTGTCTAGAGATTTTAACTGCAAATTTGACATCTTCACTGACAAAGTTGTTTTCTCCTATTGTTCATGCGTAGCGAAACAACGTTATTTTTTTACCACCAGTTAAAACGTTCATCAAAAGTGTAACCTGTAGATAATCTGGCCTCCTTCTCCAGAGTGCTTTGTTTGGTCCTCTTAAGTCGGCTTATCTATGGTAATATAAGGTAACTAAAGGTGTTTTCAGTAATCATACTGAAAGTGTTTCTTCATAAAGACAGAGGACTCAAAATTATCACTACATTATAATAACTTAAAGAATAATGTCTTCAAAGGGAGAAATATACATGCAAAAGTTCCGACTACTAAGATTCAATACAGAAGAAAAGACATTTTCATTGTACACATTATTGTCTCTCTGTGCTTGTTCCCATGTTTCTCAACTCACCCTTAGATTCATTTTAAATATAGATTCATTACTATGTTTCTGATTGACATACCTACTACTGCTTTGCCAAAAACTACAACTGATAGAACTGACGATAATGCCATTCTACGAATAATCATCATCTGTTCCCATTCATATTCCTATCCTTTATAACGTTAAGGGATATGATTTGTCATCCTTCCATGACCATGATACCAATAAAAGAGCAGTGAGTCTTGCAAATATTTTTTGGGATAACTGTAATAGTTCTGCAGAAATGCAACAAAAAGTTTTCAAATTTGTTTATGTGGAGGTCACAATTGCAAGATCATATGTACCATACGTCTCAGTATCAACCAAAGTAGGACTTTCAGATACAATTGCATAAGACCCTGGAACATTATGGATGTGGGGTCCCTGGGACTCATACCCTTAATTTTCAGGGGTTCTGGACAACAAAATGGGGGTCCTAGACACTTAAATATTATTATTATTACTGTTATTTGTATTGTGTATCATGATCATCGCATTGTTACTGTTATTAAATTGCAAATGATACTATAACCAAGCTAGTAGCAAACTCAGCGATAACCTTTTTTTGACGTGATTGGAATTTCAACAAAAAGTACTTGGACTTTTTCTGCGTCCCTGTGGATGCGCTTATAAATTTTGTTGCGTGCTTTGTCAAATTTTATGCATATAGGATGCAGGAATTTGTGTTCTGCAAATGCCTGCCACATATTCATACACCAATTGCATCAGCGTTAACACATGGTCTAATGGACGGTGACAAGCAAATAATAAGAAAATCACAGAGACACAAAGAAAGCAGGGCATACTTTAAAGAAATGAAAACAAGAAAAAACTTTTTTCTTAATGAAATATGAGTATAGCCACGGTGGTAATGCCAGAGCCTCAAGCATTCTAGACTTCAGTCGACCCCTTACACTTCCAAACATGGAATATAAGGAAAAGTGAGTAAAAAGGACAAGGTTTGTAACAACATACTGATGACTGTAGAAATTTACCTGGTGGCCCATGATGCTCAGTGGAAGCTCCAGTGCTTGACGCTCCCCCTTCAGCGCCTGCTGGTCCGTCTTTATCATCAGCAGCTCTTGTGATAAATGAATCCTGCACAAGGTGTGCACTCCCAGGATGGGTGTTTTGTGAATGGGACATCCTTAACTGAAGCAACAAAAGCCGTTGCTGAAACAACAACAATCTGGTCTCCTCTGCATCAAACTAATAAAGTAATTAATATCTTCTTCAAAGTAAGTATTTGTGTTAAGTAATCTATGGAACGTGCTCCCATGTACCCCATATCCCCCTGGCCCCCACATATTTGAAAGAACAAATCATCTGACAGTTACTTAAAGTTACAGCTTGACTTTTTTTTAAAGTAAGTCCAAATCGTTTCCATGGAAATCATGAGAAAAAAAAATGACAAAAATTTGTAAATAGCAAAAGGCACCACTTTAGCTTATGTTTGATATATCTACCAACTCCTGAAGAAAGATATTAAACCGTTTTCGAGCTGTGCTCCGGAAACATAGGTCACCACTCCCTTTTGAGATTAAGTTCAACTTGTTTCCATGGAAACCAAGAAAATGAAAAATGACAAAAATCTGCAAACAGCAAAAGGCACCACTTTAGGTACTGTTTGATATACCTACCAAGTTTTGTTGAAAAATATTGAACGGTTTTTGAGTTGTGCTCTGGAAACAAAACCAATCCCTCCTTTTTGAGACTAAGTCCGAAACGTTTCCATGGAAACCAAGAAAAATAAAAATGCCAAAAATCTGTAAATAGCAAAGGGGAAATCACTTTACGTTCTGTTTGATATATCTACCAAGTTCTGTTGAAATATATTGAAGGGTTTTGCAGTTATGCTCCGGAAACAAAATGATTACAGACGGACGAGGCGTCAACTATATCCCCCCCGCATTACATGCCGGGGGGATAAAAACATGCAAATAGCAAAAGGCACCACTTTGGGATCTGCCTCACATATCTGCCAAGTTTTGCTGAACGATATTAAGAAGTTTTCCAGTTGTGCTCCAGAAACGAAACCCGCCCCTCCCTTTTGGGACTAAGTCCGAATCGTTTCCATGAAAACAAAAAAAAAAGCATAAATCACAAAAATCTGTAAATAGCAAAGGCACCACTTAAGGATCTGTCTCATATATCTGCCAAGTTTTGCTGAAAGATAATAAGAAGTTTTCCAGTTGTGCTCTGGAAACGAAACCCACCCATCCATTTTGAGACTAAGTCCGAATTGTTTCCATGGAAACGGAGAAAATAATAAATTGCACTTTTAGTGGTAAAGTCATCTTGTCGTGTTGCCTTCGACTAGGGCCATTGAGTTCTTGAAATTTCACAGGCATATTTCAGTTTTGCCTAACTTGTGAAAGACCTTTACACTAACGCTTAGTTCCTGAATATATATAATTCTGATAGGAACCAATATACCCATTTAAATTGAAATGAAGCCTCACTGATTTAGGAGATTCCTGGGAAAACCTAGACTTGCTTCATTTAGGACTTAAGCATTGCAGCGAGGGCTAGGCATTAGAGAAAATAATGTGGTTCAGGGACTGTGAGACAGACTAAAAGGCTGTATAAGCATGATGAGAGTTTGAGTGATACCAAATTTTAGTCACTGAGGTGAAACGAAAGACATCTTGAATACATAGGTGTCATGAGAAACCTTTTCTGTTTTCATCCTTGCAGTATTTCAGCATAATGAAGACTGGTTATGAGTAGTTCCCGGTACAAATTATCAGGAATTAAATGCAAGGACTTTTTTGGACCATTCAAGGCACAAAAAATAATTTAAGGCCCTAGATAAACATATACAACATAAGCAGTTGAACAAACATTTGCTCGGTCAATTACACATGGGACTGATCATGACCATCAAAGGGAAATAACTTTTGGCTACATCCCTGTGATGGGAAAAGTTCGCTTCACAATGGAGATTAATTAATACACATTTTCATTGCATGGAACTTCTTATGTATCACTTTTCTGTATTACAGTAAAGTCATAACTTGAAAAGTTAAATATATATTATTGCCTTTTTGGGCAAACTACCTGCAAAAAAGGCCTTTTCAAGGCTTAAATGAATTTACGACATTTTTAAGGGTAAAACATTCTTCAAATTTCAGGTTTTCAAGCCTGTGCATACCCTGTGCAAGATGTAAACTTTGTAATTAACTTATTATAAGCATTACAAGAAAAAGAAACTACTTTCATATCGACACTGATTTATTTAAGCAATGATAATTCCATTACACAGTCTAAATGCTTCTGAAATTGATAATTTAAACTGAATACTCAAACACTATGCTATGGGAGAGGAGCACAATTATGGTACGATAGCTTTACTAAACGTTATCAACCAATTTTTAATTTTCACTAGTTAAAATTTGCAAATGTATTTTTCCAGTAGTTTAAATACTGTGCAAGTATTAAACTTACACAGAAAAACGCAAATTGCAAAATTTGAGCTAACAGTGATCGAATTAATGCTTTCTACAATATCCTAGCTGCATGACTAAAATTATTCAAGTAATACACACCAGGGCTTAATGGAAAAAAGCAATAAATTTAACCAACTCAAATCACCCGAAACCGATTTTTGAACTCCATCCAGGGCTCCAGATATGTGCTGTATTGGCGTATGTACGGATAAAAAATATGCACGATACGGTAGGCAATAATTTAGAAAACGTAGCAGATACGCAGCACAGCAATGGTGTATGGTCTTAGAATCGTTTACAGACGTATTTATCTGAAAAAGTATTGTATTAGTGTTTATTGACCTGTTTACACAAGAGTAGCAACGTTGTGGTGCATATATGAAACGAAACACAAGATTACTGATACAACATTAAATTCCAGTCAGTATTCTAAATGTACTCTTAAGATTTTCCAGTACTCCTATATAGAAAAAATAAGGAGTACATACTCCTGATGTTGAAAAATTATCTGGAGCCCTGTCATCAAACTATTTATTGGTAGCACTCTCCGATCTCACAGCTTAACATGCATGGGTGTGGCAAGTTTGAATGAAACGGCACATGATAGGAAAACTTGTTTAGTATAACATAGTTTGTGGGAAGATAATACATGCATCTGTCAAACAATGTCTGTATGTTCAAACCTATTTTCACAAAAGCACACCTACATTATCTGTCTTAGGGTCTATGGAACCCTTAAAATTCCATTTCTGTCTCTGGTTAAATATCATATTTTAAACCAGTGATGAGATAATAGAAGTATTCTGCCACTACTTGAAACTCTCTATTGCTTATAGTGTATACTCAAAGGGTCAGAGAAAACTCCCAAGAAAATACTGATGCGAGTCATCAAAACAGTAACAAATTTCAATGAACATAACAACAATTTTCCCAAAATATTTAATCAGTAAGGGAAGGAAACATGTTTTACATCCTGTTCTTGATTACTATTCAGTTATATCAGTGTATGAAATAAGCCAAAACTCCAGCCAGACATCAGGGCTGGTGTACCTTCAAAATGGATTCAACCAGACCAAATATGGTGATTTTGATCAGATGTATGGAACATCCAAAAATTTAACACACCATTGGGCGAGCTAGGAGTAAATTTTGACCGTCCGTCAGAAATCTAGCCCGTCTCGGACGGTCGGACGGGCCTTATTTCAAACAGTGGTTATATCTTTTACACGCTGAATTTGACGTAGTATCTCCACAATAAATGTGTATAGTAGCCTAAATCGTGTAGCCAATTGGCATGTAGGCACTAGCCATCATTGTGGTAAACTTTCTTACAAAAACAGACACCAGATACCATATATACTGATAAATGGTCTCTGCAAAAAAGCATGAATTTCACAGTTTTTTTTAAATATCATATTTTAAACCAGTGATGAGATAATAGAAGTATTCTGCCACTACTTGAAACTCTCCATTGCTTATAGTGTATACTCAAATGGTCAGAGAAAACTCCCAAGAAAATACTTTAAAAAAAAACAACCACTGAACAACTAAAATCTTGTGAGGAAAAATAACAGTTATTAGATCAATTAACATGCTGCAGACAACTGTATAAAAAAACATAATGCATGACATTGTACACCCTTACTCCGATAGACTTTCAGAACATTGTAACAAATAGACCAGAAAATTACATTGTTCAATCAAACATAAAATTTTGAACATTACAAAGAAAAATAATTACATGTATTCACAAATGAATACAAACACAAAAAGAAGACAAAGTCATCATTATCCCCCGCAACGGCAAAACACTCTTTATGAATATGTCTACTAGTAATGATTACGTCAAATGTTTTGGAGTGTATATAGTGGAAGGAGAGTATTGAAAGGCGTTTAAGATCTCCTCCATAAAGGAGCACTACCACCAAATTCAGTTGAAGCCTAACTTGTTGCCATGGAAATGCAACAAGATGACATCTTCATAGTCACAGCCTAAGTCACGTTTCCACGGAAACCACAAAAAATAAATTTGTATCTGGCACCTCTATGGATCATGCTTGATCTGTGTACCAAGTTTGATGGAGCTAGCATGTATAGTTTAGGAGATCTGCTCCAGACAAGATGACATCCTCATAGCCACAGGCTAAGTCACGTTTCCCGTGGAAACCGCAAAAAATAAAATTCATACCTGGGTCTACACCCAAAAAGGCACATCTATGGCTTATGCTTGACATATGTACCAAGTTTGGTTAAGTTATCACAAATAGTTCTGCTTCGGACAAAGTGTGATGGACGCACGGACGGACGGATGGATGGAAGGAAGTTGTTCCTATATCCCCCGCAACAACGAAGTTGCGGGGGATAAAAACAATACTAATTTGAATGCAATATTCATTCACTCGTTCTACTTTCATAAGTTCCACTAATGTTTTTTTCTATTTTCGCAACTGCCTCCATTAATGAGTTTATTCAAACTGTTACAACCCTGTGGAATAAATGTGGTAGATTATTCTCCCTTTGATTATTATGACAAAATTTCCAACAAGATTTATGAATTCAAGGGTTTCATTAATAACATACTGAACAACTAGCAACACAACAGTAATGTGCAAAACATAAATACAAAAACATTATTGTCACAGACAATTGTTGTCAGAATTTGAAATGCAAGACTTTCCTAAGCAATGTCTATGACGATTAAAACATAATTATATGATATAATCCATGACAACTTGGGTTATGTTACGAAGAAATCAGGTAAAACAAAATGAAGACAAACAAGTAAATGATGATTAAAACATAATAATAATATAAGCACTGATACTTGGTGCTCAACAGTAAAGAATATACCACCATACGATGCTGACTTGTGGAAAGGACCAGGTGTATCTATTGTTGTCATCACAGTGAGAATTTACAGTGTGGCAAACATTTCCAGGATTAAAATATCTGCTCTTTTGTCTTGTACTTTACCTTCAGGTGAGCTAAGAGAAAACTGGTTGTTTGGATTGTTGTGTTGAAATGATTACACTGTATACTGATACCCAGATTCAGAGGCAATTGTTCACATCATTCTCTGGTTTGATTGCTTGTGAATTTACCTTTGTATAGCTTTAGATTAAGGCTGTGTAACAACACTACTTGTTCTATCAAGCCTAGAAGAGTTGCCTCCCTTGGCACACTGCCAGCACCAGACTTGAACCAGTTAGATTGCAGCCATTTTGCCTACTTTCTCTTTGATAAACTGAAAGTGAAATTAAACAATACTATTAAATTTAATATAAAAAAATATCAGCATTAACATTACACAAAGATGTCTTCTTTGAAACCTTCTTTATCAGTTTATAAGTTGTGTTAATACTGTAAACATTCAGAAATACTAAAACAAACACTATTCTTTTACATTACTGTCTGCATAACCAGTGTGTGAAATAAGGCCCGTCCGACCGTCCGAGATGGGCTAGATTTCTGACGGACGGTCTACATTTACGGCTAGCCAGCCCGATGGTCTGGTAAATGTTTTTAGATATTATACATCTGAGTAAATTCACCATAGCTTGGTGTCTGGTCTGGTTAAATCCAAGTTGGGCTGGTAACATTTTCAAGTTACCAGCCCTGATGTCTGGCTGGGGTTTTGGCTTATTTCGATGAACCATGTATGTAACTGTTGTAAAGACACTTTTTGCTAAATATTAATATATTTTAGTACATTTTTGTCAGATTGCATAAAGTAGGCAAAACGTCCATATGATATTAAACGTGATATTACTACAAGAATATGTAATTATAAAAGAGCATTTCCATTTTCGGTTTGGAAAGTATGGGCTGAGAAATTACTTACTGAATGACCAGTTCTGCTTGTGAGCTCAAGGGACTGTTTGATTGAAAATTCACATTGTGACGCTTCCCATAGTAAAACCTCATCACAATGCACATTTTAGTTTGACTAAACATCTGTCTAATGCTACCCACCTGAATATGTGCGATGACACCTGCCCAAGAAGGCGCCCGACTTGATTCCAAGTAGGACCTCTTCTCCTGAAACTTCGATTTTGCTGAAGCGAAAATGAAAGTTGCCATTCGTCACATGCACAAATTCGACCAATCAACTATCCTAAAATACGGTATATAAATGGCTGCTTGGTTTTCCCCAGACATACAGTTATTCTCAAGAGCAGTTATTTCCCTTAGTATAAAGAATGTTTCCATTTATACTTTTTCTGTATGCAGTTCTGTAAACCTGTAAACAAATATACAAGAATAAAACCGTTCATTTGGTCCATATATATATATATTTCATGTGCAATTTCAAAGATGGTATTTAGGACTGCTCCAATTGCTTGTTAGCTTATTCAGGTCATATATTCACTCGTGACAACGATGAATACCGGAGAGGGACAAGACCAGGCGAATGAAAAGATCCGCATTAATTTGACGAAACATCGACAGTGTCAGTTATTAGACAAACAGAGCCACGTTTGTATTTTTACATGCATAAACAAATACACTATAAAATACACTAAAATATTGTCGTGAATCTCACACATGACATATACATGACCTCTTATCTTCAACCGAAAGATTAGGCATTCAAGCAGAGCTTATACTTCCTTGTTGATATCATGATTTGTCTTTCATCCTTCCACCATTACCGAATATATCGTCTGCTACTTAGGGACCGTTCATAATTTATGGCTGGGGTAGGGGTGGGGCGGGGTTTTATATATGATGATTTTCAAGGAGAAACATGTACAATGTGAATGACGCCTTACCCCCCTAAAATTTATGTACAAAGTACGTGACCCCGCCCTGCATGTCATGTACAAAGGCAATGCCCCCCCCCCCTCCCTTCCCATGTTTTTAAGCATAATTTTTTAAAATAATAATAAGTACAAAATTGCTGCCCCTACCCCCCTAGTACACGTGTACAATAATGATGACCCCCTTGCCTCCCAAGAACAAAATGGGTGACACCCCCTCCCCGCCCTTATAATTCATTCTCTTTTCTTTCTCTCTCTCTCTCTGAATGTCACTGTCGGTTTTACGTACCGTGATCTTGTTTTTCCTTTTCTTTTTCTTCACAAAAACTCCTTTCACCGTTCCCGTTTTAAGATCATCCTCGTGTTAGTACCCAAATACACCTTTAGCTCCATAAATCTATTTACTAGTGAACGCGTTCGATGCTTTTCACCTTGTTTGGAAGACGCCGCAGGGCCAGCCGGGCAGACGAGCAGACGACGCACTAGGGGAGGTAACTCCAATTTCTTAACATCCGTGCGCGAATGTATGTATTCCATTTACTTGCAAATAAATCCAGTTTATAATGTGGTGATGTTGTATATATAGCAAAAGGTTATGTTACGGCAATTAAGATATCATAACGCATAAAATGGTCTGATGTCTGGATCATTCATGGTAAATATACTGTTACCGGCTCCCCACATAAACCACTCTATTACTAGAGACCATCTAATATATTTTACCATTTGGTCTCTGGTATTCCATAGTATAATTATTATTGGAATGACGAGACAAAAAATATAAATTTCGATCGCGAGTTTTTGATACAAGACTGAAATAACGGGAAAATGATCGAGGTTATTTAAACACAACTGAAGTAAAGAAAAAGTAATCGAAAACATAGGCCGATCCAGAGGTGGAGAGGGGTGCGTGGTGTGTGTGTGGGGTGGGGGGTGCGCTTTTGTCCTGAAAGTTTATTAAATGTCCATTGAAAGTCTTAACGGGTGTAAATGAATATGCAACCTCCCATCCCCCAACCCTCTCTAAAGTGAGCAAGAATATAGAAATCATGCTGCTTGCTAAATTAGATGTTGCATCAACACCTTTTGCCAGAGATTAGAGATAATGATGAAATAATCCTTTTTCTGTAAGTTTCCTCTGAATAAATGATATCTGTTAAAGTTAGCTGTGAGTATGATGTTAAAATACAGAGAGAGTTGGTTTATGAAATGTGAATGCAATAAATAAAACTGTTTTGAATAACCAAACTACACATTTGAATTATGATATGATAAAACAATATTTTACAAATAATTGTTTTTATTGGCCACTGAATTGCGATTCTTAATTCGAGTACATTTGAGGAAATTCATAATGTTTAAAAATGAAAAAGAAATGTAATACATATTCAAAAGAAAAGTCTTTTTTTTTTGTGCATATAAAGTAGAAACATGTCCTGAACAACTTGTTTGAGTGGCATTTAGAAGTTGGTGTGATGAACAACGAGGAGAGTTCTATGGAGATATCATCATTTGCTTGATAACGGTGTTAGTAGCTACATCGAAACGTCGCTTATATTATATTAAAGAAGCTGTATATCCATAGAACTCTCCTTGTTGTTCATGTCTTGAACAGGTTTAAATACTTGTGTTCGATTAATATTTTTAAAACATATTCTAATAATGCCAATGAGTAAGAGAGATCCCCAAATGAAATAGATAAATAAATAAATAAATAAATAGCAGAAAGGATGACTTCAAGTTTCCAACAATCATCTTTCACTCTATGCGTCAGCATTTCACAACTGTCCAGGAACAGCTGGGACATTTATAGCTTTGATGACGACAACGACATGTAAAACCTGAGTCAAAATGTTTGATGGTAGACATATGTAGACCATTTCCCATTTCGACGCATCAGTGATAAAAATAACGTCCGATGCAGTTCCCTGATTCAACTTGTGTCATGTGTTCTCGTATTGTTGGGTTCTTTTAGGTGAAATTTGCCTAGCCTTTGCGTGTGTTTGTGAAGCATACAACTAGTGGGGCAGATTTTGTCTGGTATGAGATCTAGAACGATGTCATAGTGATTCACAAACAACCCGTGAAGATCCGAGTTAGAATTGAGATTCAGTAACCAATGCTTGTCGTAAGACGACTAATGGGATCGGGTGGTCAGGCTCGCTGACTTGGTTGACATATGTCGATCGTGTCCCAATTGCGTAGATCGATGCTCATGCTGTCGATCACTGGATTGTCTGGTTCAGATTCGAATATTTACAGACCGCTGGGATATTGCTGAAGGCGGCGTAAAACTAAACTCACTCACTGATATAGTGTTTCAAAAACACATGATGCAGTCGAATCAGTACAGTCGACGTCTTGATTCCTGACGCTGAGGAATGAGTTTAATCTTCTTTATTCATACGGGGCGGTGGGGTAGCCTAATGGTTAGAGCGTTGGCTTGTCACGCCGAAGACCCGGGTTCGAATCCCCACATGGGCACAATGTGTGAAGCCTATTTCTGGTGTCCCTCGCCGTGTTGTTGCTGGAATATTGCTAAAAGCGGCGTAAAACCAAACTCAGTCAGTCAGTCTTTATTCATACATCAAGGGGTTTAATCCATTTAAAACTGCATGAAATTATTATCGTTATTGTTTACTGAGGTAGTGGGGTAGCCTAGTGGGTAAAGCATTTACTCGTCACGCTGAAGACCCGGGTTCGATTCCCCACATTGGTAAAATGTGTGAAGCCCATTGGTGTCCCCCGCCGTGATGTTGCTGGAATATTGCTAAAAGCGGCGTAAAACTATAAACTCACTCGCTCACTACTGTTTACTGTTGTTCTGATGTTCACACCCCAGTATGGAGTTCTCATGGTCGCCCCAGAAAAAATTACCTTCATACCGTCCTAAAAATAATTCCAATAATTTTATTGCCTATTGTTACGCAGACTTCATTGATCAACACTCACGGGTCACATACACCTTTTATCAAGGTCATTTTCCTGCAGGTAGATATGCATAGCTGCTGACACAGAACTTGCTTTATGATCAGTTACCCTCTTGAGAAAGATACTTTGATCCACGGGACGAGGTCCCAGACAGCGATATGAATATGGCTGCTGCTGGTTGCTGCCTTGCCGGTATGTTTATCAGTATAACTATCCGGGGCACATAGTTGTGACACGAGATCAGTATATCGTGATGAGGAGTGATTGCGTGAATATGTTTTTACGCCGCTTTTAGCAATGTTCCAGCAGTATCACGGTTGGGGACACCAGAAATGGGCCTTACACAGTGTACCCATGTGGGTGAGTGAGTTTAGTATTACGCCGCTTTTAGCACTAATCCAGCAACATCACGGCGGGGGACACCAGAAATGGGCTTCACACATTGTACCCATTTGGGGAATCGAACCCGGGTCTTCAACATGACGAGCGAACGCTACAACCATTAGACTACTGCACCGCCCCTTGATAAGGATGACTCTTATGCTCAATATGTACTTATGCAATTAGTAGACACATATGCAGTTAGACGTTTTGTCTGCAAATTATAAAGTCCAGGTTTTCATTTTAACAAATGACACATGAAGACAATGGGAAAAATGGTATTCAACAACCCATGATTGTCGCAAGAGGTGACTAACAGGTCGTGTGGTCAGTATCCGGACTTTGGTACATGTCATCGTATTCCAAATGGGTGGGTCGATCGGATGCACGTGATGTCAGTCACTGGATTGTCTAGTCCAGGCCTTATTATTTACAGACCGCCATTATATATCTGCAACACACAGGTGCTACAACTTCGGTTTAGTCTACCCCAACGCACCCTTTCCGATGAACACTCGTAGCTGCGACCTCCGTAAGTTTCGCTTCGCCACGACCGCTTTGTGGAACGGGCCCCACACTACTAATATGCTGTTGTGATACATATACTGAGGGAAACAAATAAGGGATCCTTTTCCAGGTTTCTTCACAATATTTGTATTGTACTGTGGGCGAAAATCTGAGAATAGCCCAAATAAAGGAACACTGCAATGAAGCGTTGTTCCCTTATTTGTTTTCCTCAGTATATGATACTATTGCTGAAAACGCCATTGAATGGAATTCTCCAACCCTGTTGAATGTGAATTCTCTACATTTTCTGTAAGACCGCACACAATGTGTTATATCTGAGCAGACATGCTAGATCAATATTTCGATAGCTCTGTTCCGATTCGTTATGGCGTGACTGCGTATTGCTGGGGTAAATACCGCTGCTATTGACTAACGTTTAGTCCCTGAATACATTTAATTGTGATAGTAACAAATAAACCCATTTAAATTGAGA